TGTCATTCCTCTATCGTACTTTTTTTCTTGTTGGCTTTCATACCATGTTTTGTGTTTAAGTGCTCACGGTATGATTTTTTTTTTTTTTTTTTTTTCACTGTGAGCCTATGGATTATACTGAATATGTGATCATGGTATGAAAAAGCACAGGCCTTGGACCTGGCTTCAGTTCTCAGGTATGGCTCTCATTCGTTGTATGACTTTAGAAAGATTATTTAACTTCACTGGGTTTCAATCTCTGTATTTGTAAAATAGAATAAAACTTATCTTACAAGGATACTGGTAAGATAAAAAAGGAGACTACAGAAAGAGATCCAGCAGAGCAATTTCTTGACATAAGTTCTTTCCTTTTACTCTTTTTACGTTTTTAATGTTAAGGTCTTAGAGGGCACGGTCTCTTTATGTGTTATCACTGAGTATACAATTCATGGCACAATTTTGGCTTTCAGTGGAACAATTTGTGAGTGTTTGCTAAACTTGACCAATGTATCCGTAACTACAGTACACTGGCACTTTAATACCCCAGTTTTCACATAAACACAACCAACAGATGGTGAAAGCTTTTATTTGCCTATAATTAATTCTGTAATGTTCTGGGGGAAAGTCCTGAGGCAAACAGCAGATATTTTGCTTATTCCCCTTTTAATCTTCGCTGTCAGAAAGCTTACAACTAAACTTTCAACAGCAACAACTAAACTTCTGTATAAATTTTACTTTTTCCTTTACAGATATTATATGTCTTTTGTTAAGTTACTTTATATTCATTTTGGAAATAAGACAGCATATAAACATGTTTTAACTTCATTTTAATGACATTAGGCTGTGTCAAACATGAAGTGACTTTAGCTACCTTTAAAAGATTCCATCCCAAGAGCTTAAAATCTGCAAATGAGCTAATGTGATAGAATTTTTATATACAAATTATATTGCCTTGTGAGAAATGTAAGCAAAGATGTATTTTCTTCATCCCAATGATAAATTACACACAATTCACAATTCTGCCACACATATACACATATGTATGTACATGTTACGTGTATGTGAATAAAGATAAGATTACCAAAACACAAATATACAACAAATCAGAAAGAGATATTAGTTAGAATAACAGAAACTGGATCAACACTAGTCACCAAAAGGTATCCACTGTTTTACTCCACGGAAGAGTAACAATTTACCTTACTGGTTTAGGAGAATTTTCTGATTGCCTAGATAGTATCAAACTTGCCAGAATGTAGACAGTAAATGCTTCACTAAATCTGAATATAATGAAAAAAAAAATCATCTAAAAATGCCTTGCATTTAAAACTATATATTCTTCAATACTGTATCTAAAAAGGTTGTAGCATAAAAAGGCAGCATGGTTTTGTGACAAGTACCCAAGACCTGTTATGAGAAGACTTCAGTTTGAATATTGACTCTGACCCTTACTAGCTCTTCCACTTCAGATAAGTCATTTAACCTCTCTCTGAGAGTCCATTTCTTCTTATTCTATAAAAGGGCGGGGCAGGGGTAGGATGGGATAATATCTAGCCTACCTGTTGTAAGAACCAGTGAGATTTTTTTAAAAAGTAAGGTGCTTCATGAGGTTTTACTGCTTTACAAATATTAATGCTTAAAAACACTACTTAATAATGACAGAAATAAACTACATATGCAGTAGTTTCTCAAAAGTGAGCATTTTTGCTGTATGGCTATTACCACTTACAGATTTAAGCTATAAACCTAATTTAAGGTTAACCCTATTTCTGAAAACTGTATCTACTATCTACATTGTAGAAACTCGACAAGTTGATAAAATGTATGCTGACACTTATATAAAAACCCTTTCAGTCCTATCAAGAGCAAAATCACACATTTAAGCTGCTTCTTAACTTACGTTTATATCCGTATGGTATATGAGGACACATAAAGCTGGCAAAATCTGAGGAAAGAAGATAAACAATAATTAACATTAGTTAATAAATATGTCTAAAAATAAACAACTTTGACATAAAAAGCAGGTAAATAAGGTTTGTAGAGCGAGAAAGACAATGTTAAATTTGTCTGAAAATCTTTTAGGAAAAAGAAAATCTGATAAATTCAATCTAAAAAAACCAAAAACATATTTCAAATGTTAAACTGAAATATGTTCAATTAACAAGTTAAAACATGCAAATAAATCTGGTAGAAGTTAATGTACCTTAAAAGAAAAACATTTGCTTTTAATAAGCTTCTTTATGACATAAAATGTCAAGTGGAAAAAAAGGAGATGCAAGTATACAGTTACAGCTATTTAAGAAAAGCTACACTTAAAACTGCCATAATTGTCTCACTTACCTGCTTAAAGTAAAAATACGATTTTATTTAATAAGCTACTTAAGTCAAATTAAAGTTTTCAACTTCAGTTTTAGTCAAGAAAATTCGAACCAGTACAAAGTACAAAGCTTTGCTTGTTGAATTCAGGCCCCTGAGATCTCTTTTTAAAATCTGGGAGAAACGGAGCAGGGGGGTGGTAGGAAATCACACAAAATACCTTTGCACAGCAACAAAAAGTAGCAGGTGCTACAGAAAGATGTCCATTTTAAAGATACACAGTTGCCTAAGTGTGGTGGCTCACGCTTGTAATCCCACCACTTTGGGAAGGCAAGGTGGATGGACTGCTTGATGCCAGGAGTTCAAGACCAGCCTGGCCAACATGGTGAAAACTCAACTCTACTAAAAATACAAAAATTAGCCTGGCATGGTGGCACATGCCTGAGACATGAGAATCGCTTGTACCCGGGAGGTGGAGGTTGCAGTGGGCAAAGATTGTGCCACTGCACTCCAGCCTGGGAAATACAGCGAGACTGTCTCAAAAAAAAAGAAAAAAAAAAAAGAGATAATACAGTCAACAGTGAATAAAAGTTATGTAGGGTTTTTTAAATAATGCAAAGGACTCGGATCTGTTTACATATCAAACGTAAATAAAAAAGTTTTTGCTTTGTTTTAACTAGTAGATTTAACAAAAGATATGTCAATTTTTTTTTTTTTTTTTT